CCAGTGAAACTGTGACACTGAACTCCGACACCTACGGTCAGAAGAACGAACTATGTGTAGGTGTGTATGTTTCAGGAATCTCCTTTGGGAAACCACCTTATTTTCAGGGCCCCATAAAGAGAAAAATGTAAATAAGAGAACCATTTAACCTGCCACTGCTCTACCGTGTTAAGCTGTTTAATCTGTTAATAAACATAGTCAGAACAAAGAGAAGACGACAGAACTCATTAAGAATAACGAGACTGGTGACAGAAAATAGAGCGATGGTAGGAACCACTACGTGTAGCACAGGGCACATACCCATTTCTCCCTCTTCTCTCCTTACTAGTGAAAGATACTAATTATGCCTCTGGCAGGTGACATGTGGACCCCCTTCAAAGCAGCTATTTAAAGATAAATACACTGCAGGCAAACACTTCAGGCCCGGCAGCACTATTCATTCCATTCTCCTTTCCTTCAGAAATTTTAGGACATATTAAATAAGGGAGAGAGCCTTGCCAAACTTAGCAGAAAGGTCTCCAAGTACCTTAAAACGGATTTAAAAAATCTCTAAAGCTTTTTATCCCTGAAGGACTGACTAGCTAGTATGTTTACATATCTACACTAATCCCAGTATTATTAATGGTATAGAGGGTTTTTTTCCTGCACCCAAGGTTTTCGTTGAAGATACTAAATAGAGTTGTGGAGAGAAGGCATGGTCTTGGGCTGGCCGGGTGTCATTAATGGCAACGAACCAGACTCCGAAAACTCCATCTGCTGCTTTTCCATCCACCTCAAGATTTACTCTCTTTCATATTCCAAATCAGTGCCAAGACGATTACAGGTAATAGTTGGGGACTGGAGAAAGGGGTGGTCTATAACTCTTGGCAACAAATATCACTGCCCGGTCTTTGATTTGATTCCTTCATTATTTCTGCGGTCAGACTTCCTTTCCTATAAATAATGAGCTTATTAAAAATGCCTTCTTTAATCCTAACAGTGCCTGCTGTCACCCAAGGGTGATGGAGTGCCTGGACTCCCAATGCTGAACCTGCAGTTTGGAGCTCTGACAAGCTCTATTTGATTTGGAATCCGCATCAAAAAAGAAGAAACAGAATTAGAACGCAGGTATGAGAATCTTAAATCAGATTCCCAATTGTCAACTTCTCCTGAAAATACTTCAGATGAGGCAAAGACGTAAGTGAGGATATGAGTTATCAGGAGTTGATAACAAAAAGTAAGAAATACATCTAAATGTAAATAAGAAATTAGATAAATGATGAGATATCTGCCAAATGGGACAGGTACTTATGTGATACTATTTATTTATGTGACTCTGGAAAACCAGACTGCCAAAATAAAAATACAATGCAATTCCATTTCAGGGAAGTGACTCATATCATATATGCACATAGAAGGCTTAAGAGATATTCTCACCATAGAGCTGGTTTACAGTTATCTCTAAGAGATGGAGGGAGGGTAGTTTGAGTTTATTCTTTTGCCTATTTCTCCATCTTTTCTTCTAATGTTACCAAGAGGAACATGAAATACTTTTATGACCAAAAAAAAAAAAAAAGTTTAATACCTTATTGTTCTTAATTTTTAAATTGAAAGAAAAGTATTAAAGTAGTACCACTACAACAGGGATCATCTATGTAACCTTTGTGCTCTTCAAAACAGTTTTAATTAGCTCAACCAATTACATATTAAAAAATATGTCATCTAATGCCATCAAATCTATCAGATATCCAGGATCATGACGGTACCATACAAATCACCTATCGTTTTGGGCTTTTAGAGCTAGATCAGGTAAATACACCCAAACACTCAAAAACATAATTTTTAAAATAAAGCTAAAGATGACTCACACTTTTAATACCACAGATCTAAAAAGTATAGGAGAAAGTAAAAGAGAGTACAATGTCATGTCAAATCCTTAATGTATATCAGCTAAAATCAAATAACAAAACCTATTTTGTTGTCTGAATTATAAATATAGGTATACATTCCCAGGGCTCAGAGCATTTTTCCAATATTGTTTTAAACATTTTCTAGGTTTCACTTATTAAAACCTTTGTTCCATCTGAAAACTCAAAGAAGTACATTGTGGTTGTGAAAAGAAATGACTCTTCTTTTTGCCTAGTCTTGAAACATCAAAGCTGAGTATCTAGTAATGTTTTCATTAGATGACATTTACTTCAGTAATAAGCACCTCTCTAAAAAGTAAGATCCTCTCCACAAATCTTCCCAAACCACAGATAATATGGTTTTTTAAAATAATGCATATATAGGCACAAACACACACTCTCTAAAAATGAGTCACGCCCCCTTTATAGTAACCACTTTTATAACTTAATTCCATAATCAATACAGCAACCTTCTGACATCCTAATGGAACAAGATCAGTGAATCCTGCTAAAGAAAATTAAATAGTTAAGTCATGGCTCCAACTTAAATCTGGCTCCGACTGCATTAAAAAGCCATGCATGACCGAAGGAATAAGAGTGCCACCACCACAGAACATTAATAATTTACCAGAACCATCTTGCTGCTAATGACACTGCTGACCCTTCAAAAACTCCTTTAACTCAAATTCGTTCTTCTGAGCTCTTTGTCCCACTCGCTCCCCATTACTGATAGCACACCACACCCTTCCAGCCTCACAGCCTGGTGGTCATTCTTACCTCTTTTCTTCCCTTCACCCTTCACAGCCAATCCAGCACCTGATACTTTTATGTGAGGTTCTTGTACATTACTTTCTATCTTCACCCTCAACATCTAGAATCTTGCAGCAAGAAGCTATGTAAAACCTAATGGAGGCAAACTGGTAGGAGGCCCACCTACCTCATCTCCCTTTAGTCAAGACCAAGTGATCCTCAACTGCTAGCGAATGTCTCATTGAAATATAATTATTCTCCTTCATGTCTTGAGAGGACTATCACCAGACCATAATGTCAAATGTAAACCTTACCTCTTCATATTCCCTTCCTAACAATTCAGACCTAAAGCAAATCAGTGAGAGAGAACAACCAGGGAGGGAGGGACAGGTAACCAGGTGGAGTGTCAGGGCCAAGGTAGGGTGAAGAGGATATTCACATACTGGACTAAGGGTTGTCAGAGCTGAATGAGATTAGAAGGGCTCCATTGGGGGGAAAGGGGAGAGAAGCAGCGGAGGTGGGAGGGGGTTACACTGGAAAAGCTTAAACAAATAAATACATTATGGATAATAGGAGCTTGGTTTCTCGATGTTCGATATGAAACGGAAGAAAACTAGAATGAATCCTTTGGTTAGTTAGACTGAAATTTGAAGTATTGGTGCTAATTCATGGTTTTTAATATACAGAGACATAGATATAACATCTAGAGATACTAAACAAGCACGTGTGTACATGTGCACCCATACACACAGTTATCACATTTACAGAGCACCTAGAGGAAATGATACTCCAACAGCTGTGGACGCACTTCAGGCCTAGAGCATGGCCTCTGAAGGGCAGCCACACTTGAAAAAACAACGCTCCTTGGAGAAGTGGCTGATTCCAGGGCTGAGGGAGAGAATGTACAAGATCAGCATGGAATATTTTGTTGCGCCAGAAAGCAAAGCTGGAAAGATGACAGGTATATGTCAAAAGGACAAAAGAGACAGCTTGAAGGGTCTCTGGTGATGATATCTAGAACAATCTAAACACCAAAATAAATGATACTCACAGATTATAACCTTTTGAATAAAATAGGAAATGAGTCCATACAAATACAAAAATAAATTGAGTTTGATGAAAAACGTAATATAGAGTTCTAAAGAACCTCCCAACAAAATATGTATAAATTACAAAGGCTACAAGGTAACTTTACACAGTGGAGAAGCCTGACAGACCAACCTGAATCAAGTGATCGACATGAACACCATCCACAAAAGGATAGACTGAAAGCTTGTACTATCCAACAGGAGGCAATGAGAAGACTAAAGAATCACTTCTGTGATATCTGTTCCCAATACAAAACCTGAATGAACCTAATAATGAGGAAACACCAGACAGCCCAATTGGGTGTGGGAGTGGGGGTGGGGGAGGCGCACACCTTCTACAAAACAACTGGCCTGTAATCCTCAAGTATCAAGGTCATGAAGGACTAAGACAGTGGAAGTATGCAGAGTTAGCAGACTAAACAGACAACAATTAAAGACAATGCCCAACTCTGAACTGGGTCCGTATGCTCTGAACTCCGACTAAGGCATTTAAGGTCATGTGAAACGGGGGTTTGAGGGTTACATGGTAGTAATGTTATTACTGTGAAGGTCCTAATTTTGATGGTTATAGAGACTGTCCTTATTTTAGGAACATATACACTAATATGTTAAGGAGCAATGGGGCATCAGGCAGAAATTTTCTCACAAGTAGTTTCGGGAAAAGTTCTTTGCGCTGTACCTGAGTTGCTGTAACTTAGTTCAGAATGTTTAAGAGAAAAAAAGTACATAACCCTGAACTTCAAGCCAATCACCAATAAGAAAGACCTCACCCACCTATTCATTTTCTCTCAACTAAACACACCAAAGGAACTCTCGAAGTTCATAACTTTCTAATGCTCTTCTCTGTCATTCTCATAAAAGGCTCCTCAATCTCTCTGCCAATCTTTTGTGTTCTTCCCTCACAACTGTTAGAAAACTTAGTTCCTATAGTAAACGCTTTCCCAAATAAGGCCGTACAAATCCAAATCCATCCTTTCTTACAAAATTTTATCCTCACCTTGTACTCTGGTCCTGTTTACATTAATCAACCAATATTTTTACTGTTAAGTAAACTTAGAAATTGAGTCATATGAATACAGAAGGAGACATATGAAGACTCAAGCACCCTCTCAGTGGGATTTCTCACTTTAAACTCCACCTCGAAGCAGGCTGGGGCACTGAAAGCAATATGCAGAAGAGATCAAAGCTAACATTTATTCCAGTGTGTGGTCTTATTCCTTTTTCTTTCAACTGGGCTGGCTGTTCATTCCAAAATTGACTGGTAGCACAGTCTTACCTCGAAGGCAGAGAAAAGTAAGAAAATCTTCTGTCTTAGGCTTCCTTTTAGAGAGGTCAGAAATTTGAGTAGCTGGAGGGGGTAGCGATGGCTCCACTATCTTTACTGGAGTTGTGCTGGGACTATTCGGCTGAGATTGAGCAAACTTCCTTTGTGCTTGCAGCCTGGGCCTGTAAAAGCAAAAGTAAATTAAAAATAAATTAAATAGAGATCGGAGGATATAGATCTACGTGAGGCAATAACATTATGAAACAAAACGGAAAAAAGACCCTATTTCAAGGGAATGCCTTCTAATTAAGGTTCTATATCTCTCACACCCTCATAAACCACAGGCCTGCTTTAAAGGGCAATAAATTGGGTTAAAGGGCTGTGTTTTATACGCTGATTTAAAAGATGAGCCACAAGCACATGTATATATGTGTGTGCCAGCATGTGCCTGTGCACAGACCACTTGTGTGCCTGGGTATTTCAAAAACTACATGTGGTGGGATTACTGGCTTATGTACTTTTGATTTAGCCCATAGTGATGAGAAAATGCAAATCATCCTGCCACATTTCTTAAATTTGTCAACATGATACTGTCACAAATATATGATGCCCTTCATATTGTATCCTTACACCTAGTCCACCTTGGCCTGTCCATCCATCACTGACACAATCTTGCACCCCCACCTCTAATCACTTCTGATTCCAATTAAGCCACGTAAGTTCGCTACACTAATTAAAGGTTGTAATACGGAAAAACATATATATTTCTCTTGTCCATCCAAAGACCTTCTGTCTCTGCCAAATTATGGATCTGCCTACATGAGTCAATCCAAGTCCCTTAGTTAGGAATTTGGAGAACTGGTCTTAATCTACCTTTCAGTCCTCTTCCCCATTACAATTCTACCTAGATATTGACCCCTAACTTATCGACTTAGTGTCTAAAAACCACAACTTAGAATTCTTTAACTAAACATCTTTTACTTACAAAATCTTACATAAGACTTATCTTTCCACAATTTGAATACTACGAATCTTGGAAAGATTTCTTTCCTAACACTGCTGGCACCATAGCCAATTAGTTACCTTACCTTTCTCTATTAAGTACCCTAACATGTATAACTAACCTTTATGTATAACTAATCTGACGTTTATCGTAAATTGTTTCATATTAGCTCTTCCTTTAAGGATCTCAATCCATAATAGAAGTGGGCACCTCTGAGAGTGAGAACCTGTGTTTGTACTTGCTTCAAACTGTCTATCCAGCCGTGGTCATAGAGATACTCAAGAAACACTATCCGAAGTCAGGAGGTTAAAAAAACGAAAAAGAACCAAGAAGCAGCCCTACAGCACAGTGCTTTATCTGGATCTGGTCAGAATCACAAATGAGAATCAATCACTGTGTGGGACTAATAACGCTAGTTCAACTCAAGGTTGCTTTGAGTATTACGTAAGAAATAAAAAGAAATACAATATATTTGTAAAGCACAACAAGTCTTCCCTTAAGAATTGTAGGGATTATTAAAAATGGTATCTTAAAACTGCTGACAGTCAAAAATACATAACATTTTAAATTAACTTTCTAATATTTAACAAAATACTTCGTTCAGCAAAATATACATTACAGTTTTCTCCTTTAAATTTAACCTCCCTTGAGTCCTGACCAATCCCTACTCTTGCCTCCCCTCTACCTTCTACCAAAAGCACTACTGTAAAGATGATATTCCCGGTGCAAACTGACATTTGGAAAGGAGACAGCACAACCACTTTGTACTTACTGGGCAACCTGCAGTCCTTAAAATCTGCGAACATCACAGCTAACCAAAAGCCCTTTAGAACTCAGGAATAACCAAAGTGAAATAGCCACATTAACAAGGTATCAGCAGAAAGCTAAGAAAGTTTCACAACTTTCCAAGTGTTATAAATGGCAATGCGACTGTGCCCATATTATGGAAAACAAAGAGCTTTTTTGCAACCAGCTGACTACCTGTACGTAAGACAAGAAGGCCTGAAGTGTGTGCTGAAGAAGCCACCGAGCCTGGAGGAGTGACCTTCAAAAGGGGATACTTGAGGATCAGATTTTAGGGGAAAGGCAGGTGACACTGAGGCTTTACAGTGGTGCTTCTCAAACTATCTGACATGAGGACCGGTTTGGTGTTGGGTTATTTTTCCCCCTTGAGATTTCCTATCTTTTGCAAATGGATATTTTTATAATATAAAACAATCGAACTAGAGAAAAATGAAATTTTAAAAAGATATAAAATACAAGCCCAAATTTATTATTATTAGATTCAGCAAAGTCACTCTGTCAAAATGCTTTGTTTCTAAAAAGCTATCTTGATTTCTATATTCAACTCACTAGCACCTGGTAGTAGCCCATACCTTGAACAGCACTGCTTCAAGAGGTAGCGCAAGGCTATAGAGAACTCGACTACGTTCCAATAGCCACAAACACCCACCCTTCCTCCCCGCCCAGTGCGATGCCACCCTCCAGGTGGACTGATCCCAACAGAACTACCCTGGCTCTTCCAACAAAGCTTCTCCTCTCCACCAACCATCCCATTCTGTTAAAAGAAAATCCATGTCGTTTCATTCTACTAAAAACTTTTTTTAAGTTGGCAGTTTTATAATACGTACATCTTCACTGAAATGGACACAGCTCAGACTCTGAGCATTGAAGGATTTTATAGAAATCTTCCCTGCATGTGAACAGGATGTTCCATGTTTATTGCTTTTTCAAAAGTCAGCAACAACAAATGCCACACATTATGGGAAGACGGCGAAGCCATAATGAAAAACAAACACCAAACACAGACAAGGCGCAGATGACAGAAGGGGACACGGTGAGACAGTTTACAATTTCAGGCCCCCAAAGATAAACTGCTCCTACCATTGTTCAAATAAAAGTCACTTTTTGCCTGATGACTTTCTCAGTGAGACCATGAAAAATAAGGCAATAATAGATTAAAAAGTGGCAGTAAAACAAATTACCCCTCAGAGGAATTAGCCAAGCTCCCAAGTGATGAAGCATTTGTGAGACCCAGCTGAAAGCAGAAACAAGACAAACCAGTATCTTTTTTAGAGGCCAGAAGAATCTGTACTTTGCAGAAAGGGCAAGTCTGCGGTTTGGCTTTTCATCCTGCAGAGTGTCAGGAGGATTACAAAGGTGTTGACTTTACTTCACTGGCCCCACACAACAAAAGAGTTTGAGTGACATAATTTAGAGGGCAAATCCAATGGAGTAAGCACTCTTAACCACGCAGCTATATTTGAGGGATAGGTGATTCATTCTAATTCATTCTAGAATGTCTGAAACAAGGAAATGAGTGTATGCTATCTTAAATCAGTAAAGAAAAGGAGGTGTGCAGATGTGCTGAAGAACCAGAATATCTGCCCTGGAGATGCTGGGGCTGAGCTGAGGGGCAGGCAGGACAGATCAGATACGTACCACAGGCTGAAAAGGCAAGTGGGGCTCTGGCTGTCCCTGAATGTAACCTGCTAATCCCCAGCAGCACCCAAGCAAGCCATGTGGTACATCCACCCACTGCAGCATTTCGTTCCCCAACCCTTTCCATCAGCTGACTGACATTTTAACCAGAAACAGCACCTTCCATTCCTTACTAGAGCATAAACGCTTTAAAATGGAAATATCGTCTGAACTAAGGAAGTTCAGAGTCATCATGGCGATGGGAGTGCGAGTGGGGGAAGAGTACGGGGTCTGAGCAAAAACAGCACGTGAGGCCTCCAAAGCATTTCAGCCTTGAGTTTGGCAAGGATGGCCCTTATTGCCTACTGGTAATACAAAGAAATGTCAGAACACAGAAAATACAGGTGTTTGTCCCTCGTGCAAACCACAAAAAAATCAACTAAAGCACAAGTCACTTCCACATTAGAATTTTGTTAAGTGATTAAGGAAGGAATTTCCCCTACAGAAGCCTCCTTCAGTCTAGAAACTCTAGGTGTATCCTTGCATCGACGAAACCAACTAAATCAAATTCTCAGCAAACCAAGTTACACAGATCAAACAAACATAAGCCAATTGAGGAAGAAATGAGTATATTTATATCTGAATAAATATATTGAGGGTAACACTTTATTTACAGTGTGTTAAAAATCTACAGTTGGGAGCAGCGGGGGTGAGAGAACAGAAGTACTAGTTTCAGATCAAATCATCATTGTCACTTACTTTCCATGGTGTAAATGTGTATATACGAATTAAAGGACTAAAAAATGAAAATGGTTAGTTCTTCTGACATTCTGTGGGTCCAAAAGAGTAGGCTCTACTGTACTACAGTCTCTTCCTTATGACCTATTCCTGCACAGAGCTGTTACTGTGTCTCGAGGACAAGCCCTCCATAAGTGCTGAGAAGGACCAGTAGGACACTACACTGCTGTACCATTTTACAAACCACCCAATTCGTCATTCATTCTTTAGGAATTAAACACATGAATGTTTTCTGAGCAGAGGGGCAGAACGAATGGCAATCCAGCGGTGCCAGGGAGATAGCTGGATGGATCTCAGGCCTCAAAGCAACAGAAGAGGTTAAGACATGGTAATCTGGGGAGAGTTACTGGCCATCCCAGCATAAGTCTACACAAAACAAAGGTCAACCAAAATTCAGTTTCATAGTAATCTATTAAGCATCTGCCCACGTGGTCACAAATTCTACCATCACCACAGTCATCACTTAATAAGAATTTACTGAGCCACCTGCCCATTATCAGCTTCGTCTAACAAACAAGGCATGGTTCTGGCTCTTAACCACCATGAGGCACAAGGTGCCATCCCACCACAAGGCATGCAGTTGGTACTCACGTGTCCTCACACTGCACAACGGTCCATGGGCTATTATCTATTGGACCCAGGAGAGGATGGTTCTGCCACACATCCATGCACACAAGACCAGCACACATCAGAGACTGCATGGGCTGGGGGGTGGGGAGGTCCATCTAATTCTTTCCCTTTCAGTCCCAGATACACACAGGAAGGCACTGTTTTTCTCCTGAGCCGTCTCTCATTTAGGTTAAGTTATCATGGCAAACAAAAAATTATTTTGCACTTAAAATTTTACCCCCTCAAAATCCTTTTCAAATACATTTTGTATTTAGGTTAAAAAAAAAAAAGTACAGCACCTTTATGGGAAGAAAAAAACATATCAAAATAATATAAACGCTGGCATTATTT